AACCCTCTTGTTTGGGTAATTACAGCCACCCCCCTCGTTTAAAATATTTTACATAAAATTTATGTAATTCGGTTATTTACCGAACTAAATCGTATATCAGTTCGGTAAACGGTATGAAATGTTGGCGTACCGGATTTCGGTTCGGTTTTACCGATTTAACATCCCTAAACTTACCTTTGGAGAGTTATTTTCGTAAGATAATACATAGTTGAGGGGTGGCTGTAATTACCCAAACAAGAGGGGGGTTTCGTAATTTGACCATAACTCAGGAGGTGGCCGTAATTTGCCCTTAATTTTACTTTAAAATTGTTATCTTATTAAAGTACTTACGAATGATGTTTGTAGCATCTAATCTTACTCCACCCTGTGTTTGGTCAGAATGAGTGGTCAGAATGAGAGTTCAGGGAAATGCAAAGAAATCAAGATTTCAACAATCTTTATGCGTTTTGGAGTGTTAAAAGATTTTTAGTATTAGTTTTGACTACTCATAAAATTATTTTTTCTACAAAATTCATTTTGCTTAAAGAGAAAGAAAAGATTTGTTTTCAGTACCGCTACTGTTTGTTAAGGAACTTTTGTTATTGTTAGCTGCCTTATGATTAAGCCTGACTGAACACCTCTTGATTGTCAGGACAGTTTGCGTGCGGTAATAAACACTGCAACGAAGTCGAGGGTTTGGCAAGCTATGAGGCAAGTCAGAGCCAAGGTTATCTTTGTATGAGTTTTGATGTTAATGAGTGAAAGTAAAACACCTTCTTTTTAAACCCTTTTTAATTCGTATGAATGCAAATTCAGTCTGATGAGAATTTTAAAAGGCATAAGGTGTTGGAATGGTTGGTGTTCGTGTGCCTTGGGATGGAGCATCAGTTTTGAATAATTTAATTTAAAATATGCAAATTGATATATATGCAATAGAGATATAGTAGGTTCTCGACAAAAGTAGAATTGATATCGAGAAAGAATATTGGTTAAAATATGAAATCCCATTGTCGACAATTCAAATATTCTTTTTAAATGGAATTAGTTCTTCTGATGACCCGAACATCTTGTGTTTCTTCTTCTTATGACGAAGTTTGTTTCCTTTTCGTTTTTTATTTATCTCGCTAACAGTTTATTACATTTAGGTAAACTTTTCCTATTTTGAGGCTGGAGAAAACAAACAGGCACTTGTGAAATTAGTGGCATGTGAGAGGTAAGTCAATAATGCATTTGTCACTATTCGTCAGCTTTTGATATTTGGTAAAGTATTTTTGGCCTCTAATTACAATATACATACTGTTGTAATTTCATCATAGTATACGCAAAATTGTATCCTGGATAATTGTCCAAAAGTTGAACCTAGAGGAATAATTAGCAGAAATTGCTTACAGTTCCGATCGACAATTATTTTCTGTTAAATTGTGGAAAGTTATATTTTCATTATTGAAATGATTAAGCAGATTAAAATAAGGGTAAATTGCACTTGCCTTGATGTGTCACAAATATTCCTTGAGGTTTAATTTAGATTACAAATCCAACCCAAATTTGATAAACGATATTTTTTTAGGCTATACGATACTTTTCTATAGATATGCTGAGCTAGTATCATTCTAGCATGTGATACGAACATCAGGAGACGGGACCCGCGCTAGGTCTAAGCTGCTGCTGTTCTTATCGTTGAATTTAATCGATCATATTCACAGTGTTGGAGAACGTAACGTAAAGTACTATAATTAATGAGCTGCATATTGCATTGATCAACTTTATTTTATTTTAATATCAATAAGATGTTGTCTTTGAGTAGAACTGCCAGTACTAAAATATAATCTAGAATGAAGTTTCATTGGCTGATAAAATAAATAATCCTGTAATTCCGTGACATTGTTCCATGTGTAATTACAATGTTCTGGTTTTTGTAACTTGTGCTCGTGTTTTTTCTATTTCGTAAAACTTGTGTATTGAAGTTGATTCTTGAAATAGATGTGCAGAGAAGCTATATTATAAGAAACAAAAGGAGAAGGAACAGTTGAAACGGAAAGAGGATGAAAAACAAAGAAGAAAAAGGTTAGTAAAATTTTGTTTATATTTAATGATATACATGTGGGTAAATTACAACTACCCCTGAGGTATGGTCAAATTACGAAAAATACGAACCCCCCCTCCTGTTTGGGTAATTACAACCACCACCCTCAACTATAAATCTTCTTACACGTCCACCCTTGCGGTTTCAAATTTAGTGGAATCTTCGAGATTATATGGAATATTATCACTTTTGTACCTGCTTTATCCCATTTGAACTCCACATTTTGAAGCAAGATGATCATAATATGTGTTTTTTGGCTTGTATATATCAGATTGTGGTGCATCAGAAACTGTATTTTTACACAAAACGAGTACAAACTAGAGCACATTCCACAAAATCTAGATGATTACGTTGAATTTGACACCATAAGGGTGGAGGTGTATGAAAAAATCATAGTTGAGGGGTAGATGTAATTACCCAAACAGGAGGGGGGTTTTCGTAAATTGATCATACCTCATGGGTGGTTGTAATTTACCCTATATATTTTAAAGTAGGCTGAATCTCTAGCAATTATTTGCTGGCCGACTAAATTAATTTCATCTTCTCAGGGATAGGTCTGAAAGTGACGACGACAAAGTCATCGACTATGGTGGAAGCAAAGAGAGGAGAAAAGGTACGATTTTACACATTTGCCCTCTCATAACTTTCTCTTGATGAACGATAATTTAAATTCTTTTGACATAATTATTTCAGGAAAGAAGGGTTCGACTTCAGCGAGTGATTTGAAGCTTGATGACGACGACGATGATGATGATAACTTTGACGAGTATCTACAGGGAATGTTTCCTTGATGATTATTTAATTACTGTTATTCGAAAGTTTGAAGTATTACGGTATTTAACGAGGTAAAATTTGGCAGCATTTTTCTATCGCGCTTTTCTGGTGTTGTATTTTGATTTATGCTAGTTATTTTTTTCTTATTAGAACTTGAATTTCAAGAATGTATTACTGTACCTGGTGAAATACAATTAAATTACAACCTTTATTAAATAAATCATATTTCAAGAAACTTATTGCATGTAATTCGAATAGATAGAAATTTAAAGGTGCAATTTATTAATATTGGATAAATTACAACCACCTCCTGAGCTATGATCAAATTACGAAAAAATCCCCCACGTTTGTATAATTACAACCATCTCCTTCAATTATGAATCTTCTTACATGTCCATCCTTATAGTGTCAAATTCAACATAATCTTATAGATTCCGTAAAATGTTCTCTAGTTTGTATTCGTACTGTGTAAAAATGCAGTTTATGATGCAATACAATCTGATATATACAAAAAAATTAGATAAAACGGTTGATTTAATAATAAAACAATTAAAAAAAAAAGAAAAGGAGGGAAGAAAGAGATGTATGTACATATATTTGGAGGGCATTTTCGACCATTCACATGCGTCCATGGCAATTAACTAATCAATTATCAAAGCGTTGATTTTTCTTCCCTCCATAAACAGAGACAACAAGCTGACAAGGAGAGCCACGTTGGCGTGAAAATTAAAATAATATTTAAAACGTAAAAAAAATGATTTATTTTTCCTCTCACTACATTTCGTATTCTGTAAGTATAGATTATTTGCAGGTGTTTGCTTCATCAGACAAAAATGGGGTGTGTGAGTTGTGAATAGCTTTGGCTCTTCCCTTCATCGCGAAGAACTAAAGGTAATTTCTTCTTCTGATTTTTTTTTTTTATTTGGGTATCTCTGTTCCCCAATTAGGGTTTCTGCGATTTTTTTATTCTGCGATTAATTTGATTTCTATTGTAATTTGTAGTGTAGGTAATTAATTAGGTATTTACTTTGTTATTTACTGTACTATTTGGGGATGATAGAATATATTTGGGGATAATTCTATATGGCATAATTCTTAATACTCACTTCTTAGTTCTTTCTTAGTTTGGGTAAATTAATTACGGCCATCCCAGAGGTAAGGTCAAATTGTGAAAAAACCCTTCCTTTTTTGTATAATTACAAGTTTACAACCACCTCCCTCAACTATGAACCTTCTTACACGTTCACCATCATGGTGTCGAATTCAACAACATCTTCTAGATTATGTGAAATGTTCTCTAGTTTGTACTTGTTTTGTACAAAAATTGCAGTTTTTTATGCACCGCGATCTGATATTTACAAGTTAAGAGACACATCATATGATCATCTTCTTACAAAATGTGGAGCTCGAACGGGGTAAAACGGGTACAAACTGGAGAATATTCCACATAATTTAGAAAATTTCAGTAAATTTGACATCGCAAGAATGGACGTGTAAGAAGATTCATAGTTGAGGAGGGTGGTTGTAATTACCCAAACATGAGAGGTGTTTTCGTAATTTGACCTTACCTCAGGGGGTGGCCGTCATTTACCCTACTTAGTTTTATTGTATATATTAGTTTGTGACAAAAAGAAGAAAAAAAATGATTATTTGGATGCCTACTGTTCGATTTGCTTTTCGAATCATTGTTTGGTGTGTACAGATTATGATAATCCCGTTAACTGATTGGGTGAGTACTGTAAAGAAACAACAATGCCGACACTCGTCAAAAGTAAAGATCGACAGCCGTATAATCAGCCTTGGTGGCATCAAGAAGATGCTTCGGTTAATCCTGTAAATCAAGCGACTAATGAAGCGATCTCGAACGATACAGAAACCACTGCAGCTCTTTTATCTGGTAATTTTTGTCGTGTGATTTACAATTTATTATACTCTTTTTTTTTTGATTATCTGCCGATTTGCCGAATTGCTATACTGTTTAATTTATATAATCTACATATAACGTTTTCTATCCTTAGGGGTAAACGAAAGCAATAATGGGAAAGAGGAACAGCTCCTCGACGCGAATTCACAAATGGAACTTGTCGGCCATTCAATTGTAAGACACGTTTTTTTTCCTTCAGATTCTTATAAGTGTACCTATATAATATATTTGGTAAATTACAACCAGCCCCCGAGGTATGGTCAAATTACGAAAACCCCCCTCTTGTTTGGGTAATTACAACCACCCCTCAACTATAAATCTTTTTACACGTCCGCCCTTGCGGTTTCAAATTTAGTGGAATCTTCGAGACTATATGGAATATTATCACTTTTGTACCCATTTTATCCCATTCGAATTCCACATTTTGAAGCAAGATGATCATAATATGTGTTTTTTGGCTTGTATATATCAGATTGTGGTGCATCAGAAACTGTATTTTTACACAAAATGAGTACAAACTAGAGCACATTCCATGGAATTTAGATGATTATGTTGAATTTGACGCCATAAGGCCAAGGGTAGATGTGTAAGAAAAAATCATAGTTGAGGGGTAGATGTAATTATACAAACAAGAGGGGTTTTTTCGTAAATTGACCATACCTCAGGGGTGGTTGTAATTTACCTTAATATATTTGATAATATTGGATTTATATTTACTTGTTTCGCAGATGCTGACGTCGTCGTATCCATATCCGACGGGCCCACAATACGGGGGAATGTTGACTTACGGGGCACCGGTAAGAACAAATAGCAGCGTTGCCAACATACGTGTTTTTATGTATGTATAAATACGATCTTCTCGCGTACAATGGATTTTAATTATTTATTTATTACGTGAGAATCTTTCTTGGTTTGGTGATAGGTGCATCCTCATTTGCTCGGGTATCTGCCGGGAGCAAGGATGCCGTTGCCTCTTGAAATGGAAGAAGAACCTGTCTATGTGAATGCAAAACAGTACCGCGGGATTTTGAGGCGACGAGAGATACGAGCAAGGGCGGATTTGGAAAAGAAATTGGTCAAGAACAAAAAGGTAATAGAGGGGTTACCCTCGTTTGTTGCTTGCATTTGTCCCTTAACTTAGGGGTTGGAAATTGGAACTTGATTTCCGAATTCCGCCGATTTTTCGAAAATTCCCGATTTTGGAACATTTATGGATTCCGAAAGTTCTTTTGGAACGAAATTGGAACACATGGTAGATCCCGATCTCCAATCTTCGATCAGAATTTATTTCCGAAAATTCGGACTATTTTATTGAATATTACACTTGTAATATCAATATTATTATCCATTTTGTATCACACCTGATTAAAAAAATGGAATTTGAATTCCGCTATTGGAACAAGTTTTTTCATTCCAGTATCCAAAATCCCGATTTCCGATCTTTCCTAAATTTTTTGGAACGGAATTTGAATTAGTTTTCCACTTAAAAAAAAACTGATTTTTTTTTCGAAAGTATTATTTCCGATCTGATCGTGCAATTTCCACCCCTATCCTACCTTTATCTTTTGCACTAAAAAATGCTTATGTTTCTTCCAACATCGATAAATGCAGCCTTATCTTCACGAAAATTCCGATTATTTTTTTTTTTTTTTTTTAAATTACACCCATAACATCAATATTATTATCCATTTTGTACAACAGACAACTAAAAAAATGGAAATTCCGAATCCCGCTGATTCCGATAAAAAAATTTCCGATTTTGGAACAAGTTTTTTCATTTCAAATTCGATTTTTTAAAATAGAACTGTAATTAGTTTTCCACTTTCGAAAAAAGAAAAATTGCAATTTTTTCAAAAGTGCTAATTCTGATGTGATCCGTCCGATTTCCACCCTTATCCTTACCTTTATCCTTTGCACTAAAAATGGAAATTCCGTATCCCGCTGATTCCGATAAAAAAAATTCCGATTTTGGAACAAGTTTTTTCATTTCAATTTCCAATTTGTTTTTAATAGAATTGTATTTAGTTTTCCACTTTCCAAAAAAAAAATCGTCTTTATTTTTCTAAAAGTGCTAATTCCGATCTGATCCGTCTGATTTCCATCCCTATCCTTACCGTTATCCTTTGCACCAAAAATGCAGCCTTATCTTCACGAATCTCGGCACAAACATGCAATGAAAAGGGCAAGAGGCACCGGGGGCCGTTTCCTCAACACAAAAAAACTCGACGAAAATGCAAACAATTCCACTTCCGGTGATTCAAAATCCAGCGGAAGTAGTTCAATCACCAACGGGAACAGCTCATCATCTCGTCAGCAAGCTGACGTGGCAGTTTATTACAACAACTGGAACGAGGCCCCTCCACAAGGGCCTTCTTCAGGTTAACGAAGAAAGCTCTTACCCGTTTTTTTCTTGTGATGGATGACGAGTCATCACTACTGCCTCTTTTTTAACGGAGGTCGATTAGCTGCGCTGACTCGTTTTCTTCTTCTTACATAAAAACGGGGTAAGTTCTTTCTTCCTCTGGCATGTCTTATTCTTGTCAGGCAATTCATTCTTGGCTTGGTTTGGTTACTTGTATGGTGTAGTAGTGGATGAGACAATGTTGGGAAATTTAAGGTTTTATTATTATGTTTGTCCATTTCTTCATCATTGCAATATTCCTCTTGTGTAAATTAAGTAGAGTATGAAACTATTATTAGTTGAACCTCTTTAAAACTTTGGAGGTGTGGATTTTTCCTCTGTATTTCAGTCATATACTTGTTTTGACTGTGTGTGTGTGTGTAAATATGTTTTGTTGCAGAGTTACATATAGAGTGTGTTTAGTTTGTTCAACTATGTTACCAAAAAAATTCGGGCAAATTACGGCCACCCCTGAGAAAAGATCAAATTACGAAAAAACCTCTCATTTTTTGGTAATTACAACCATCCCTCAACTATGTATCGTCTTACAGGTCTACCCTTACGGTGTCAAAAAGTTTACCTATTGAATGAGGGGGGTTTTCGTAAGATGATACATAGTTGAAGGAGTGGTTGTAATTACCCAAACAAGAGGAGTTTTTCGTAATTTAATATTACCTCAGGGGTAACGAATTGACATGATTCATATTTATTCAAATCCGTATACAAAGTTAAAGTCTGCAATTAAATGTTAATGTTTCATCAAATTAGTACTAGCCTTGGAATTAATTTTGTAGGGAATGAGTAAAACAAGGAGAATTATTATATAAATAAAATTTTACATTTTAATTTTGTTGAATATAAAGTTTTATAGAAACATCATATTTGATAGTATTGATACCACAAGATATAATCTAAGGGATCGAACATTTTATTAATTAAATAATTAATTAGTCAATATGGTATTAAATATGAATCTAATCTCAATCTAAAACTATGAAGAAGTGTGGTGGTTCAATATTGGTCACTTTGCCCCGGCAGCAGTATCAATCCGATTGGTGACCCTCCGATAGGATTCCTGAAACTGAACGTAGACGTTGCCCTTCCCGTCTGCCAGCCTCACTACACTGTCTAAATCGTGGCGCGGGACTCTCTCGGTTCTTGCATTTGGTGGACGGCGAAGCTCTTTCCTGGCTTCCTTTCGGCGGAAGAATGTGAGGCACATGCGGCTTTATGTCGAGGAGTGTCTCTCGTTAGCTCCATCCTTTTACTTCGTGCATTTTTTCGTTTGTAAAACGGTCTGGAAACAAGTTGGCACATTTTCTTGCTGCTAACTTTCCCTTCCCTTTTAACGATGGGGATTCTCTTCCATCTGGTTTGGCTCATTATGCTTCCTCAAAAAAAAAAAAAATATATACAAAATGCAAAAAAGAATAAATTTGGTGGGTCAAAATTGTATTAATGAAACATTGGAGGGCTTAAAATAAAATATTAGCCTACTAAACCCCACAAACACAAAACAAAACCCTAAAAAAGCAGCCTTCTCCGTTCTTCATCGCTGCCAGTCTCTCTCTCTCTCTCTGGATATCTGCCTTCGTTCTACTTTTTTTTTTCTTTTTTTTTTTTAATGAAATTCAAAATATTTATGCTCGAAATAATTTGTTTGTGAATTTACGAAATGCTTTTTGTTTTTGCAAATTACAAAAAAAAAAAAAAAAAAAAAAAAAAAAGAAGTCCCAGTGATGAAACATTTAGTAATCTGAAAGTGTGCATAAATTGAGGGGCTCCCTGTTTCAAAGCAGGTCGAGTAACCATCTTTTTTCATTGCTATTGCGCTAAGTGGAAATTAGGCTTTTCTGAGGGACCTTTCTTTAATTTTCATCAATTTATTCATCTTTTCTTCCCCTCAACACCAAGCTTGGATTTTTATTTTATTTTATTTTTTATAATTTTTTGTTAATTTGTAACTAATCAGAATCTGCTATTTTTCCTGTTGGCATGATTTGTCTGTATTGGCAATTTGGCATTAGGGGGTGGAAATTTGGAAAGTAAATTTTCGATTTCCGATCCGAAATTTTTCTGATTATGGAACGACATATTTCATTCCGAAATTTTGATTTTCGATTTTTCCAAATTTTCTTTATGGAATTTGTTATATGAAATTCTGATTTTCGATCTGATTTTAATTTCTCGAAAATAATTCCAGAAATTTCAAAAAAACAATTTCTGAAAATTGCACATAAATTGTAATATCAAAATTATTATGTATTTTACATTTTAGGTTACTAAACATTGGACTTGTCCGACATACGATTATGGAACAAGTTTTTTCATTCCAATTTCAAAAATTCCAATTTTTTTTTTTTTCGATTTTCTATTTGGAATAGAACTGATTAATTTTTCATTTCCGATAAAAAAAATTGGTTCCTGAAATTGCTAATTCCCATTCGGTCCGAAGAAATTATTTGACATTTATACATATTAGCAATGTATTTTCATAACAAAATCAATCAATATTGAAATAAATTAAATCCAAGTTATCAAAGTATTATTATTGCAGTGATTTGAATTTTGAATATCCAAATTCCAAACTTGATAAGGAATGTATAATCTTCATATTTGGAATTGGCACTAATTTCGACTTTTAGATGAACATTTTAGTAGAGTAAAAGCAAAAGTTGATTTTGTAAACACCTAAAACAGATTATAAAGTTCAGAAACTGATTTTAAAAGCATATGAAACCACAACCGAAGTATCGATGTCTGTTTCTTTTTCGGTTGAAGTTGAATAAATTTCTTATTGAATTGACGAGTGATTTTTCTTATTATTTGGTATGGTAAAAAATTACATCCACCTTCGTGAGGGTAAAGTCTATTGACGAAAAAATTCCTCATTTTTTAAAATTACATCTAGCTCCTTGTAGTTTGTAAATTTCTTACATCCTCACCCAACCCTCTACAAGGGGGTGTTAATATAAGAAATTTACAAATTGCAGAATCTGAATATATAATTATGAAAAATAATGGGGTCTTTTCTTAAATAGACCTTACCTCGGTTGTAATTTACCCTATTTGGTATGCATAGTTAAAACTTAAAATACTTCGTTATGTTGATTAATTTTGACTCTCATTAGAGGTCAAAGCTCATTAAGCCAAACTTTTCAATTTTTTTTTTAAATAATTGAAACCCACCCAATTATAATCCTTTCTTAAGTCTCATTTACTACAACCTTGCCAAAAAGTAAACACATATTCCACTCACTTACCACAAACACTACCTATTACAACATTATTTTATTTTCTTGAAAAAAATGGTCAAAAATGCAAAATACCTAATTTATTGCTAATTTCCCTAACTCGGTTATTCAAACAACCCGTCTTAGTTGACACTGGAGACCATTTACGGTTATTTCTATGATACACCGGTGAAGATTACGTCGGGTGATTTTTATCCTTGATCTACACACACCAATGTGAATGTGTGCGTGTGTGTACATGAATGGTAAAGATATACCCAATATATTTCACATGGTATAGCATAGAATAGACCGTTTATTTACGAAAAACCCCTCATTTTTCATAATTACACCCGCCCTCATGTAATTTGTAGATTTCTTACGTTAATATCCTTTTCTAGAGGGTTGATGTAAAAAAATTACAAACTACAAGTGGGATGGATGTAGTTTCCAAAAAATGAGGGATATTTTGGTCAATAAACTTTTCTTCAGGGAGGTGGTTGTAATTACCCTTTCTAATATGGAGGTGGTTGTAATTTACCATTTCTAATATGTACAAATAGTGTATGTGTGCCCAATTTCAGTTAATCGTATACTTTCTTGCCATGTGATAAAAAAAACATTATTGACCAAGAAAAGGTCAACCTAGGAGATATTAGGTTTCAACCAAATTTGGTAATTTAATGAAGTCAAATAGAAATATTCTTTTAGTTTCTATTTGAATTAAACCAAACTACTCGATTTATTTATTTTTTTGGTTAAAAATTGGTTTGAGCTCGAATTTTTAATATAACGAACCGGTCTTGAACATATAATTCCGTTCAATAAACTATATAACATTTGGCTCGACTTTGAGCTCAACTAAAATTAAATTACTTAAGTTTGATTCGTGTTCGACTCAATTTAAGCTCGCTCAAGCTTCACTCGGTGGCTTATCAAATTAAGCTCAAACACAACTTTCAAAATTTAATAAAAAATCAAAGCGACTATGCATTCGACTTGAATCGACTCATACTGGCGAAATTCTATAAGTATTTATATATATGTAAAAAATATATATATTTTTCGAGCTATAATTTAAAACTACGCAACAATTTATATACGTACATCAAAAATATTTATTTAAGTGAGCGAAAACTATAATCTATAAGCCGGTGTTAAAAAAACTCCTCGTGTCATTAATATATTAGCAAAAAATCTAAACGATTCATTTCTTTAGCGAACGACTCCCTAAATAACGAGTTTTTAGTGGGGTAGTTTGCTAAAACAATTGAATAATCGGGGCAGTTTTGTAACAATTAAAGTAAACACAGGGGTGTTGAATGCAATAAACCAAAATATGAAAATATTTCCAACTTCTCACACAGATAATGCTGTTATAAAAGTTAGGTAAATGTGTGTAAAAGAAAAATAAAAAAAATCATAATTTATCTTAGTTGAGGTTTGCCTGAAGAAAGAAGTTTGTCAATCTTTTGAATTTCCTAGAGAGAGAAAGTAAATTCATTTAAAAAAAAATAGTATTTCCATGTCTGCCACTATAGATACACAGCTCTATATATATACTTGCTGATTATATACAAAATACATAAACCTTCTCTCCATTTTCAACAGCTAATTGCAGAAAGAAGAAAATAAAAAATAATTAAAAAAATGAGGCCTACAATTTATTTTGTGACACTTTTCGTATTAATCTTGTTATGTTCTTCTTCGTCCTGTTTCGGCAGAAAGGCGCATTCAAAGGCGAAACACTCTTCCAAAAGTCGCCATGCGAAAATAACCAACGAGGCTAAACAAGTACAAGTTTTGAATATCGAAGATTTTGGCGCCATAGCCGATGGAAAATCCGATAATTTTCAGGTATACATACAGTCGAACCTTGATAAATTAATACTCGATAAATCAATAATCTCGTTTAAATAATATGGTTTCTCGGTCCCAACTCGAAGGCAACGTGTTAAAAATATTTCGTTAAATTAATATTTCGCTGAATTAATAAAATTTGGCTGGTCCCGACTGTATTAATTTATAGAGGTTTAACTGTATATATAATTTTCTTAAAATTTGGATGGTCCCGACTGTATTAATTTATAGAGGTTTAACTGTATATATAATTTTCTTGACATGTTATAGTGTTGTAAGCTAAGTTTCTGTTGATCATCGTATAATTTCGTTTATATATTGTTTTCTTGCATTTACGGATAGGTTGTAGTTGAGGTGTAGTTGATTACCATTTAAAAAAAAAAAAATTCGATTAGTAAGTAAATTATTCGATTTATTTCTAAAGTATATTTTTTTGATAATTATTACATGTTATGCAGGCATTCAAGAAAGCGTGGGAGAAAGCTTGTAATTCTTCGGAATCTACGAAAATTACGATACCGAAAGACAAGACTTACTATGTTAAACATATCAACTTTACGGGTCCATGCCACTCTGCTATTTCGATCGAGGTAAATTCATTATTATTATTTTATTTTTATTTTTACAGCAATATTCGAAAAAATAAAAATAAATATATTATTTTTTTGTTATTGATTTTAATTTTGCAGATACAAGGGACGATAAAGTCATTTCCACAAATGTACGACATACCGAGAAGACTTTGGATAAAATTCGAAGATGTAAGAAATATCGATGTTTACGGTGGTGGAACTATTGATGGTAATGGTGAAGTTTGGTGGAAGAATTCTTGCAGGATCAAGAAAACTAAGGTGATATATAATGCACCATAACATCGATAAAATTTGCTTAACTACATCGTAATTCGTTTACACGTGGTGGAAGTTATCGTTACATTTGCAACGACACTACGCTGACATTTCTTCGTTTTTTTTTTCTTCCTTTTTTGTCCCTCTCTTGTAGCCCTGCCAGAGCCAAAGTGCACCAACTGTATGTTCACTACTCTATCTCTCTCTCTCTCTGCTTGCTTAATTTTTTTTTTCTCTCTCAATCTCTCTCAATATCACTCTCAATCCCTCTTCAATATCTCTCTCTCTCTTTCAATCTCTCTCAATCTCTCTCTGCTTAACTTTTTCGTTTTTTTTTTGGGCACGAACAGGCGCTAACGTATAAAAATTGCACGAATTTGAGGATGAGGAATCTAAAGCTGTTGAATGCACAGCAAATGCACGTAAATTTTCAGGATTGTAATGGTGTCGAGGCTTCGGAACTTTTAGTAGTGGCGCCGGAAGATAGCCCTAACACGGATGGAATTCATGTCACAAGAACATCCAATATCAATATTCTTGATTCTCAAATAAGAACAGGTAATTAATTAATTAATTAATTATTAGCCAAATTTTATTAGTTACAATAATATAATGTGGATAATATATTTTCAGTACTAATTATTTTTATTTTTTTTGGTTTGATTTAGGTGATGACTGTATTTCCATTGTAAATGGATCAAGAAATGTTGAAGTCAGGAACATAGTGTGTGGTCCAGGCCATGGAATCAGGTAATACACACATTATATATATATATATATATATATAGGGTAAATTACGGTCACCCCTGAGGTAAGGTTAAATTACGAAAAAACCCTTTATGTTTGGGTAATTGCAGTCACTCCCTCAACTATGAATCTTCTTACATGTTCATTATTATAGTGTCAAATTTAGTGGAATCTTCTAGGTTATGTGAAATATTCTCCAGTTTGTACCAATTTTACCCCATTCGAACTCCACATTTTGAAACAAGATGGTCATTAGATGTGTCCTTGACTTGTATATATCAAATTGTGGTGCATCAAAAACTGCATTTTTTTGCACAAAACGAATATAAACTGGAGAACATTCGACGGAATCTAAAAGATTATGTTGAATGTGACACCATTTGGGTGGACGATTCGTAGTTGAGGGGTGTGGTTGTAATTACCCAAACAAGAAGGTTTTTTCGTAATTTGACTTTACCTCAGGGGTGGCCGCAATTCACCATATATTATATATTAAATAGAGAATATGTAGATAATAATGTTTGAAAAAATTGAAATTGCAGCATTGGGAGTTTAGGAGAAGATAAAACAGAAAATTATGTGACAGATATATTTGTCAAAGGGGCAAAGCTGACAGGAACTACTAATGGACTAAGAATCAAAACTTGGCAGGTAATATTATCGGTAAATAGCATTTTAACCCCTGTAGTTTGAATTTTGTGCACATGACCCCCTTAAACTTTTAATATAAGCACATAATATTACCACTATACATGAGTTTTTTTGTTGTTTTTTTTTATTTTTTTTATACTTGTTTTCACAATTATATATATTAAAATTTATATTTTTATTTTTTTGCAGGGAGGTAGTGGAATTGCAAGAAACATTGTGTTTGAAGATATACAAATGACTAATGTTTCCAATCCAATTATCATTAATCAATCCTACTGTGACAAAAATAAAAAATGCCAAACAGAGGTATTATTATTATTTTGTTACATATATACTTATATGGATTCTTTTTTTTAATTTTATTTTTGCAACAAAATTAATCAGAAACCTCGAGATTATTAATTCCTCTAATTTTACCTAAAAAAATCGTAACTCTCGTCCGACATTACAAAACCCTTTAGAGTATTTTACACGTATATTTCGCCACCGTCACTAATTATATTTTTTTTTTATGACAATCAATTAATTTTTTTTTTTTATTTATTTGCAGAAATCAGCAGTGCAAGTAGAGAATGTAATATACAGGAATATAAGAGGGACAAGTGCTTCAAAAATGGCAATAAATTTGAAGTGCAGTGATTCAGTTCCATGCAGAAATATTGCTGTGGAAAATGTTTTGTTAACTGCACACACTAAAGGTGAAAAGGTTGAATCTTTCTGCAGTAATGTTCTTTCGATGCAGACTGCGAACCCTAATTCAATTCCAATTTGCTCGATCCGCTGACAATATAAAATATTGCAATTTAATTGGTAATTTAATTATTACCATTTTTTTTGTTTTAATTTATAAATAGGGGTTTGATTAGTATTTAATTAATAATAAAAAAAATAGATAAAAAAAGAGACAAAGTAAGAGGAGCATTTGTAGATATTTGCTTCCAACTTGTAACTGTTTTAGTCATTGGTGAAAGGAATTGTTAGTGGCAGTACTGTAAATCTTTTGCTTTTGAGGAATGGTAATTATGTAATATTTTATTTTTGTAATAGTATATTCATCCAATATGTTAGGACCAATTCAGATTTTTTTTTTTTTAAAGCAAAAGACATCAAGGGCAGAAAGATAAATGCAAATATTTGCTCAGCTTAACCTTGAAATGTACCATTTTGACACTTTGCACCCCCAAAATAATTTTTGGCACTTTGCACCCTCAAAATATGTTTAATCGTTCAAAACAATGGAGATTCATGACGAAAAATAAACAATGGTGCAATTTGAACGACTACAAGATGTTCCGAGAGTGCAAAAGCGCCACAAATTATTTCCGAGGGTGCAAAGTGCCAAAATGGTATATTTCAAGGGTGCAATAGTAAAACATTATTTGCAATAGTGGTTCTGCCTTCATCTACAATATACATCCTAACATAATATTCCTCAAAAACATTATTATATAAGACTCACATTCATTTCTTGGCTGCTTTGAGTAGACAGATTCTGCGATCCACCGTCCAAATCCGACGAGCCTTCATTAGCAGACGAAACTTCCACATCTACCAAAAGATCCGTCTTTTCATTACCATCAGTATTAAAAGCTTTCGTTTCCTCGGTACTGCCATCATCAGTTTTCGATTCTGCTACTCCATCTAACAGTGCTTCAAGGGGGCACTTACCCTCGGTACACACGTCAGAAGTGAATTTCACTTCCAGAATAGGAAACTCAAAGTCCACGACAGAAGAAGAACCGCCACAAGAATCCGAGAGAGAACCTTCTAGAAGAACTTCAGTTGCATCGTCTCGATGTGCTAAAACATGTCCCGAAGCAATTTCCTCATCGTCTATTATTTTCTCTGGATTTGTTTCGTCATTACTTGTGTCCACATTATCCCCTCCAAAATAACCCTCTATTGTATTTACTTCAAAACTTTCATTCAAGTCTCCGATAGCAAAATTTGTGCCACATGTACTCTCGTTTTTTTCAAAATGAGACGAGTCTGCAGAAGTAAATAGACTTTCGCTTTCCTCTGTAGTAAAATCGCTATTTTCGTCCGTCGTAAAATCAGGAGCCTTAACAGTAAGAACCTGGGCATATCGGGGAAGGTCTTTATCGTCATTTTCTGCAGCAGCTAATTCTTGAACTTCGGTTTGACAAGAATCGGAATGTTCGGGATATTGGTTTAGCTCACGTGCTCCACTATTTGAAGTTATTTGATTAGGTTCAGAAGGATTAGTTATAGCAGACGATAGAAGTCCAGTAAGTGCTGCTGCTAAAGCATCGTTAATTGACAAAGTCTTCTTTGGTTCGTTCATTGGTTTCAAATCATCGCATTCTACTTCATCTTCTTCTTCCCCACAAGAAAACTCAGGTGCGCTAACAACAAGTCCAGGGTGAAGATTTGCATCATCGGAAAATTCAGGCGTACTATTACTCGAAGTAATATCCTTCTTTTCAGGTTCTGATGCCCCACAAGGTGGATTATCACTCTGCTCGTTGTGGAATGAGCTCGAGTTCGATTCACTGCACGAGAATTGAGGAGCCGTGAATCTTGTGCAATGTGGCGAACCGAAACACTGAGAATTCTTGGCAAGTTTTTCGAGTTGATCCTCAACTTTTTGAAGCCTTGCATCTATTCTTTCTATGGGCTTCAGCATTTTCTCTTCGAACCTCACAAAAAAATCTTCCATTCTGCTCACTCGAGAAATAAGCTGTTCCATAGATGTTTCAAGATTTCCGAGTGGCAAATCATTTGATTTTACTGGCTCGACACATTTCTCTGCCAAAGTGTGTTGCGCAAGTTCTGTCGGATTCACATTTTTCTGAGGAACTTGGTTCGTTTCCGGTCGAACTTCAGGCTCATCAATTTTCTTCGACCCCGTTTCCTTGCTATTATCACCATTAAGCACTTCATTAGAAGCGTGTTTATCTTGAACTCGGGTGGTGCCACCTGATCTTGCTAATTGCAGAAGCGTGGGGACAAACATGGCCATTAGAGAACTCTGAGTCGAGCTCGCTGCCAGGATTGACTCGTTTCCAGAATCAGATGACTCCGCAGGGTCCACAAATACATACACTTCGTCAACGTATACTTGCCCTTTGTCTTGAAGTGACAGAAATCGAATTGTAAGCAAAGAGCACGGATCAGCATCACTTATTTGTGCCGTAGCCTCATAGAGATCCTGCAGATAAGTTTCGTGTTACACGTATACTGGTTTCCTGAATTAGAATTGAAACTGACAATTTCTTGATTTCTTGATTTCTCCAACAAAGAAACTACCAGGCTTTCACATAATAACAACATGAAACAACCAAGACGTAAACTACTGGATATCAAGCACTAACTGATCGATATAAATTAAAATTCCACACGGGATGAGAAATATAAGACAATCTATCTCATGCGTGAGTAACCGCATCGCTAATGTGATATATCATTAAGTAGTGAAACCCATCTCTTCTTATAAAAGGTTCGACCTTTTTTTTTCTACCCAGGATCAGAATGCAGAGGTTATAAAAGAATATGGATGGGAAGTCGGGAACACTCTATACCTGTACATGTTTCATGCCGCTGTTATAAATCTGTTCTGGCAGAGTATCTTGTTCAACCTCCGGGGATTTAATCTTAACCCAACCATCTTCACTGGTGGCAGGACTTGGCTCGTCGATAACAGCTTCTTCAGTTAGTTCCCCCACTGCACGCTCGCCATGCTTTTCTGCAACTTCTTCGATCCAATTTGTTTGGAGTAAAGTTTCGTCTCTTTCAGCGACACCACACCGAACAGTACAGAGATACTCATTCTTGCTATTAGGAGATTGCGCGTAATAGACTTCATACAAACGAGCAGTGCTGCGAACATAAATCTGGCTGATATCATACTTCTGCTGAAAAGAAACTGCAACAATGGATATTATTAGTCATCAGAAGATGCCACGACAAACTTTACATTTCAATAATTCAGAAGGCGTGCGCTCAAAATTCATGAAGAACTGTGGTTTATAATTTCTGGCACTATCTAAAGATGTTTGAAACGATATATATTTTTGCCAAGTACATGGAAAACAAATATAGACGAAAAACATGCAACCATCATTATATCAAAAGAATGGAATCACAGGTATTTCACATGCCAGAAGTCTCGAATATCACTTCCACTCGTCTCTACTTCGTACCTCCACTAAATGGTTTAATACAAATAACACGAATCGTATTAGTACTACTATTACTTATTTGTAAAGTCATTAGTGTTTCAGTTTTAACACAAATAACACGAATCTTATTTCTTCCTACTATTAATTATAGAATACGAAAAGTAAGAAAACTAAGAATTTGAAATGCTCAAGAATCTAAAACCAGAAAAATGAATTTGAAAATCTCTTTGTTTCACTCCTCCAGATTATTCGGTAGGTTAAAAACATTTACTGTATTACCTCATTATCGATCGGCTTCCTTAATTCTCCCTACTCATTTGAACTTATTGTGATGAAACACGAACACAAATCAAACGGAAAAACCGGCCCTAATCCCGTAAAGCTTACGCAGATTATAAGCCTCCAAATCCGTGAACTAAAATATTTTCGTATTCGAAATAGGGAGAAGAAAAAGATAATTCAAAAAATTGAGGATCCAACTTCTCTCTAAAAAAATGCAGCAATCAAATTTCGGCAGCAGAACCAATAGAATTAACCGAAACATAAAGGTTTCACCATATACCAATTCAACTAAAACCGCAACATTCATAAAACACTAAGTAACGCGATCAAACCCTCGTAACGAAGAAACCCTATTAAACCCTAAATCACAGTTAAATCAAACAACGCAAACAAAGAAAAGGCACCGCCGATACAAATTACAATATGCTAAATCTTCAGAAAACAAAATCAGACAGAAATCTACGCAATAAAGTAGAAATCTTTACTCTTGATTTCACAGGGGGCTGAATCTGGCACAGGGGGCTTCAGAACGAGAGGCGATTTCGGAGCCGGGGTTTCCGGGTCGAGTTCAGGGATCGGGTAATCGGACGACTCGACGGCGACGGAAGCTTCGAGAGACCCGCGAGCGACGACCCAATTCGTTTCGAAGCTCCACGGAATCAAACCCTGCGTCGATTGCATCTCTGGTTCTCGCATTTCTTTTTTCTTGAGTGGCTGGGTTTACAATGGAAGTAGCGCAGTTCAATTCAAATGCTTTGATCGACGCTTATTACCTACGCCGATGGCCAATTTAATATCTATTTTGGGTTTTTTTCTTTTTGCTAAATTACGGTCGGCCCCCTGATGTAAGATTAAATTACGAAAAAACCTCTTATGTTTGGGTGATTATGACTACATCTCAACAATGAATTTTTTTTACACGTCCATTCTTGCGGTGTCAAATTTAATAAAATCTTTTAGGTTATGTAGAATATATTGATAAATGATAATCGAAATCTTAATTAGATTGGTTATAATTATGGATTCGTAGATACTACACTTCGTAAAATACACTGGATATAGAATACGTTATAACTTATAGATTGTGTAAGATGTTTCTGAAATAAATTCTAATCGTATGAATAAAAGAAGCTAATAATTTTGATTAATCAAATGAACTTGTTAATCAAAGGTTTAAAAACTTCATAGCCTTTCTAGAAAGAAGTAATAAGATGTACAATTCTTAAGAAGAGATAATATGTTTGGATAATTAAAGTATAAAAATATTACTAGCATCAAATCCGTTGTAGTCTAGTTGGTCAGGATACTCGGCTCTCACCCGAGAGACCCGGGTTCAAGTCCCGGCAACGGAATTTTCCTTTTAAATCTGTTTTTTTTTTTTTTTTAAATTAAATGACGTAATAATTAATTAAACAAGAAATATGTTTAAATAAATAAATAGTTACTAAATTTTAATTCGTGATCCACCTGAAAACAAACAATCATTATAATGTTAATAAATATAATATACTATTTTTATTTTCTAATAAATTAAAAACAATAAAAAATCTTAGTTGTGCTCATAAATTTATTTATTTTTCCCAAAATTACATTATTAAATCAATAAACAAATAAAATAAAAAAATCATGTGGTGGATAAGATAACTAATTTAACAGCTCTTCAAAAAAAATGGTTACTTTATCTTATCACCTCTGCTCTTCACAACTAAAAGAAACCGCCATCAATGGCGAGTTTAAGCTTCAACCCATCAAGAATCAAACACCCCATCACCAATTTCACCTCTCCCACCAAAACCCTATTCCCCAATTTCCCCAAAACCCTAATTAATCCGAGAAATTCAAGGAGAAACCCCCAATTTCCACCTTGTTTTTCAGTGTCCGAAAGCTTATCTTCCACCCCATTACAGCCTGAAACTGCAAAATCTGTAATTGATGAAGAAGAAGAAATCGGCGATCCGACATCGGAACTGAGTTACCTCGACCCGGAAACCGACCCGGAGAGTATTACTGAGTGGGAGGTGGATTTTTGTTCAAGGCCAATTCTTGATATTAGGGGGAAGAAGGTTTGGGAGCTTGTCGTCTGCGACGATTCGCTTTCGCTTCAGTATACGAAGTATTTTCCGAACAATGTTATCAATAGTGTCACTCTTAAGGATGCTATTGTCACCATTTGTGATGAATTAGGTGTCCCGTTGCCCGAGAAAATTCGATTCTTTAGGTATAATATAACCGTTTGTTTCGGCTTTTTATTTATTATTAGTACATTCTTGATTTTGCGAAAAAGTCGATTGTGTGTGTGTGTTTTTGTGTGTGATGATGGTTTTGTTATGATAGGTCACAGATGCAGACAATTATTACAAGAGCTTGTAACGAGCTCGGTGTAAAACCTATTCCGAGTAAACGGGTGAGTACCGTGAATTTTGTTTGCCCGATTTTTCCTCCGTATTAGTGTTTTTGCCCTCCAATTTGTATATAACGAAACGGAGCGAATTTATAAGTGGTGTTGTGTGTTTTGATTTCAGTGTTTGTCTCTGGTTTTGTGGCTCGAAGAGCGTTATGAAACTGTGTACACAAAGCATCCCGGTTTTCAAAAGGGATCGAAGCCACTTGTTTCGCTCGATAATCCCTTCCCCATGGAACTTCCGGAGAATCTTTACGGAGAAAAATGGGCTTTTGTCCAATTACCCTTTTCAGGTACACAAACTTGTCTAAAGATTCAACAATCAAGAATCAAGAAACTTATGTTTCTTTAAATAGTACAGGTAAACCTCTATAAATTAATACAGTCGGGACTAGCAAAATTCTATTAATTTAGGGGAATATTAAATTATCGAACTGATAATTTAGTAGGTTTTTACCGAGTCGGGACCAGAAGAAACTATTATTTAGGCGAGGTTATTAATTTATCGAGGTTCTACTGAATAACCACTTAATCGGCTTTTTTAAACTCGAGGTACAATGTATAGTTCTCTTTTTGAGTTGGTGAACTTTTTCTGCCACGGACTATTATCGTAAGCTAATTGTGTCTTGCTTTTGATTTTCGCCCAACTATTACTTAACATTGAGTGTTTGTCGTGTCGATTCAGCTGTTAGAAAAGAGGTAACTTCATTAGAGACGAGGTTTGCGTTTGGTGCAAGTTTAGATTTGGATCTATTGGGGATTGAAGTCGGTGAAGAGACTTTAATTCCTGGACTCGCGGTTGCTTCGTCTCGAGCAAAACCACTAGCAGGTACGTTACTCTATCGAAACGAATTCAATTACTTTTCACATTTTTCGATAGTTAAAAGAAGCATCAATACGTATTCATATATGCCAATTCAAGAATATCCAGTGACAATCCTATTGTTTGTATAATTTGCAGCATGGATGAACGGGATAGAAGTATGTTCGATCGAAGCTGAAACCGCACGAGCATCTATAGTACTGTCGGTGGGGATTTCGACTCGATATATATACGCGACGTACAAGAAATCATCGGTGACTACAGAAGAAGCCGAAGCTTGGGAGGCAGCTAAAAAGGGGTGTGGAGGACTGCATTTTCTTGCGATTCAAGATGAGTTGGATTCCGACGACTGTGTCGGATTCTGGCTCCTACTAGACTTGCCGCCTCCGCCAGTGTGATTATTTATCTATTATTATTTAAAAATTCAAATCCTGTTACGAATCGAGAAATATCATTTTCTTTATTGTAAGTTTTTTTTTTAATAGGGGCTATATATTTGGCTTGATTATTAAACTCCTCCTATTCTTCCTCCAAATCAAAATGTGTTCGTTTAACTTTTTCAAATTTGAATCATGTAATTTAAATAAGGGTAAATTACGGTCACCCGTGAGGAAATGTCAAATTACAAAAAAAAAAAAAAAAAAAAAACCTCGTGTTTGGATAGTTATAATCACCATTCAATTATGAATCTTTTTTACGCGTTCATCCTTGCAGCGTCAAATTTGGTGGAATTTTCTGGATTATGTCTAACATTCTCCAATTTATACCCGTTTTACCCATTCGAGCTCTACATTTTTGAAACAAGATGATCATAATATGCGTCTTTTGGCTTGTAAATATCAGATTGTGGTGCATCAGAAACGGTATTTTTTGAATAAAACAAGTACAAACTAGAGAACATTCCACGAAATCTATAAGAGTTGGTTGAATTTAACATCATAAGTAATTTAACATTCATAGTTGAGGGATATGGTAATAATTACTCAAACATGAGATGATTTTTCATAATTTAACCAAACCTTGAGGGTGGCCGTAATTTACCAAAAAATAATTTGGAAAAAATGTGAAATAAAAATTAAGAGATTTTTTTTTGTCAATTAAATAGAGGGGTGAAAAAAAAGTTTATAGGAATAGAAATGAAATGTAAAAAACATGCATGAGATAAAAGGGTAATTAAAGCTCCCAATGGAATATCATTTGTTGCTTTACATGGATAATTAATTCTATGCATTTACATAAAACAGAGTACAAAGAGTATGAAAATTATGGCCATAATCACAGCAATAACCAAATATCTAATCTTAACCGAGTTTAATTAAAATAAAATTGTACGAAATCGAAGCCGGCAGCTCCATCACTTCCCGACATTTTCAGACTTACGCAGATACCTTCTAGAAGCTTCTTCGACTACATGCTTCAAAAAACGAGCTTCTATTGAGAAAGATTAAAAATCCCCGAAAAAGAAGTAAAATCCAATGCTTTTGCTTCTGAGAGACGAAACGGATTCCTTGCTTCCCAAGTTCAAAACTCTTTGCATTTCCATCATCGAGTGCGATCGAAACAGCCGATGTACCCTCAGAGATTTCTATCACCGTTCCTCTATGCCTGAAAAATAAATAAATCCAAATATAACACTTAATTTAAATTTCAAGTTCCCGAAAGAGAAAAAAAAAGGCGAATTAAACGTTCAAAATTCTCACCAGGTGTTGTCGGATGGCTGATGAACTTCGACTCTTTTCCCAGCAGCATCTTTTCCCAACTTCTGCAGTATCCAATTGGCATCCGTAAAGTCCTTGATTGCGTTGTCTTCATTTTGATCTCCGATTGGTCTCTTTCGTTTTGACCTTTGACCCCTTGTGTAGATTAGCTCATCTTTCCCAGCAAGTGGCAGTGGACTTTGATTTACTGTATTCAAACTACTGGAGACGTTTTGGTTTCCTTCATTACAAGTCTTGGGAATTTTGAACTTCAAGTTAGGCTTTCGATCTTTAACCGAAGACTGTGAAATTGTAGGTACTGTACTATTTTCTTCAACTAAATCACCAAAAACGGACTCATCCTCCGCTTGCTTCACTGAGGTATGTCTTTTCCCACTCCTTGTGTATGCACTACTGTCTTCGTTAACTCTTTTTCCCAGTACAGAAGATGTGATCTTTGGAGAAACGGGTTTGTACTCTTCGGCGGATTCTCCTACTGTCATTTTTGAGGTAACGTTAGATGGTCCTGAATTGGGATTCTTGAGCTTTATAAAGCGGCCGTCTTTTTCTCGTAACTTCGAATCTTTCACTTGATTCTTTTCGTCTATTTCTTGTCCTGCAACACACGAGAGAGCGCACACAAGATAAGAGAGAGAGAGAGAGGGAAAGAGAACATATTTCTCGTATTCATCTCATCCCCAACTTTGGTTACAATATCCAGAAAATAATCACTCATACTTAGTACCACAGAATAAAAAAAAACAAAAGCACCCTACTTTGATTTTAGGGTAATTATGAAAACCCCCCATAACTAAGGCCAAATTACCAACAAAAAAAAAACCTCTGACAAACAGTTGACTAGAGTTGTTAACGGAAATATATTATTACATTTACCCCCTGAGGGTAAAATCGGTATTTGTTGAGGGATATTCCATAGCATCAAAAAGATTCCATCAAAGTTCACACTGTAAGAGGGGTTGTGTAAGATGGCAACAAACTTTAGGGGGTTTCTTGTAATTACGAATACATGAGGGGATTTTTTTGTAATCTGACCTTAATTCAGGGGTTTCTCGTAATTACCCTATATTTATTTTATAAACAAAGC